CCGGGTCACTACACGTCCCGCGCCACGCACATCCACATCCTCGGCACGTACAACGGCACTCTGCTCGAGAACAACACGTACTCGGGTGGCTACGCGTCGCACGTGGGCCAGCTCTTCTTCGACCAGGACCTCATCAGTGAGGTGGAACTCACGGCACCCTACAGCACCAACACCCAGGAGCTCACGACCAACGCCGAAGATCAGATCCTGTCCGAAGAAGCTGCCGAAGACTTCGATCCGTTCTTCGAGTACGTACTGCTGGGTGACTCGGTGTCGGACGGCGTGTTGGCCTGGATCTCCGTCGGTGTCGACATGACCCGCGCACAGACCATCACGGCGGCGGGTACGCTGACGGCGGACGGCGGTGTCATGTCTGAGTCCACGAACGCCATGGGCGGAGGTGGCGGCATGGGCCCCGGCTCCGGTATGGGTGGTACGGCCCCTGGCTCCGGTATGGGAGGCTTTGGCGGATCGGTCGGTGGTCCGGAGGGAAGCTTTAACGCCGCATCATCGGAGACTGATGTTACTCAGAGTACCACGACCGGCGTCACGCAGAGCACGACTTCAGGCAGCGTTGCAGCAGAGGCGTCCGATCCGGCGTGTAGTGTGCGCCTTTAGATGTACTGTTGCATCGCGACGAGAGCAGTGAATTTCATGGAGACCGGCCGGTTGGTCAGTCTGGTTTGGTGCTATGCTCTTTTCCGGCAGAACGCAAGTTGTGTAGTGAGACTGGGAATATGGTCGAGCAGTTGTGGTGGTTGGTCATATTGTATCTCGGAGAAGCATTGATGTGAAAGTCTGCGTGTTTTCGAGGTCTTTTCTCCGTTAAAGTTGAACGTTGTTTCGTAGATTTTTGCTAAACCTGATGGATGGCGTTGCTTCCCTAGAACTCAAAACCGAGAACCCAATTACTTCAGATTAAATCGACACTTCAGTGTCAAGTTTCCAGCACCAAAACTGCTGTTCACACACGTCGCAATATCTACCTCACTCAGTGGTCTCTCCACACCAAACTCCATCGCTATCGTCGGTTCACCAATGTCCATTCTCGAGCACTGCTTGAATTTGGTGCAAGTGTGTGCTGAAGCAAAGTAAAAGCATCACCATCAGCACGCATAAACAAACGAATCTTATGTTGTATTGGAAAGCAAATACACGACTGCGAAACAAGTAATTGAGTATATAGAACAAGAAAACTTTATCAAACCCTTCTAGAA